TTATCCAAACATAGACTTAAGAAGGATCATGTTTCTACCAACTCATTTTAGGTTCAGGAATTGAAAATCAAGAGCCATCCAAACAAACCCCAAGCTTTCCATCCAAGCAAAACTTCATAAAAACCACCTCCTTAGAAAGGGATCAAATAGGGTTCCACTGTCTGGTCTTCAAACACAATCCAAGCTATTTGTACCGCCAGTCCAAGCACGGCATCAAGCCTTGCCCAAGTCTAAGTTGTCACTGCCCATATGACCTGCTGTCTCTGACAAGATTTGTTCTCCAAAACCAACGACCATCCACCCAATAATCTCCAGCCAGCAACTTGAGATCCAAAATCCACCCCCAGACCATTCTCAAACGCTAAAAGCACCAGCCGAAAATCCAAAACCTTGTGCCACCAACTCGCAATCCATCAACCACACACGTTCTCATTCGCCTCTTGTCACCATGTACCTGTCGCCTCTTGTGCACAAAAAATCCAAAGCCACCAACTCGCAGAAAGAAAGTTTTTTTTTTTTTTTTTTCTTTTGTTTTTTTGGCAAAGGAATAAGAAAGATAATGAATCAAAGAAAAAAAACAAAAAGAAATCCCCTAGATAGAGAGGGCTCCCGGAAGCAGGAATTCATACAACAGGGGAAGGAAACCCTAACCCTTCTGCCGGTGGCGACGGCCCATAATACTTGCATAATTCTTGTCAGCCAGAAAATATTGAAAATTTGAGGTTTGAAAGATTTTGATTGTGGATCGCCAAAAAAGAAAAAAAAAAAAAAGGAGAGAAGAAGAAGAGAGTTATCATTGAATAATTTGAATTGTTGCCAACTTTATTTTTTTGCTTACATAGAATTTTTAAATTCATTATTTTGGTTACATATGAGGTTCAAATTTACGATTGATTTACAATTTCCATTGAATTATTTTACTTGGATTTAAGTTCTATAATAATGAATGTTAGCAAATTCTTCATAACTTTTAAAATTTACTCTTTTAAACATATCTAAGAAATATTAGATATCTGATCACAATTATAATATAAATAAGATATAATGTCAATTTTATTTAAATCTTATCCATATGTAATTGGAATTAAATGTACCATAATTTTTACTTTTCTAAATAAAACTTATATTAATATTCTTATATAAACTAATGGTTTTTTTTAAGGAATTTTAATGGTTTGTATTGAATTTTTTTTCTTTTGTTTAGACAAATATTCTCAAACCAACTAGCATGCACTTTGAAATCAATTTAATAAGATTTGTTTCGAGGGAATTTACATTCTGAAAATTTTAATCCACTAATTAAACACATCACAAGCTTTGGGGAGGCAAGCAGTACTTCCCATTATATGGAAGACAGGTAGGCAAATAAAATGCAGCATGATTGCTCACCTAATAAAAAATGTTTAGCACAATTTCGTAGGTTAGTTTTATTGCTAAACTAGAATGTCTAAAATGGTATCTGATTTAAAAATTTATAAATAATTATTAATCGTTGATTTTAATTAAATAAATTAAATATTTTAAATTATAAATAATAATTATAAATCATAAATTTCAGTTATCATCTACCAATCCTTTTTAAACATGTAATACAGACAACCCCTGAGGCTGCTTACCGATTTGCTTTGGTTTTCTTCTTTCGGTTTGCGTGAAAGTTTGACCCTTCCTAATTACGTAACGGAGAACGATACGGCACCCACAAAAGTAAACTTGAGGTTTCCTTCTTTCTTTTTATTTTTTTTAATGGTATTGTAGAAATAAATTTTTTATATAATTTTTATATGTTATTAAATAAGTATATATATTTAATATTATAAATTTTATATAAATTAAAAATATTAATTATTTTATTGACATATTAAATTATAAAAAAATATTATATGAAAATCTTTTTTTTTTTCTTGGTTCCCTTTCGGTTTCGCCGGTTTTCTTTGCCCTTCACGGAAAGGGGTAAAGTGGTAAAAAGGAAAGAAAAAGGTTTCTCTTATTCACATAATTTTTCCCAGATGGAAAAAGTTGATAATACATTCTTCATTTTTGGTGACAATTAAGTTCTTTCATACATTCCATTTTATTCTAAATTCTAAAAATAAATTCTGAAAGCTTCCAAGTTTGACACATGCTTTAAATTTTTTAACATTTCATTTTATCCATTTGGTACCTTTTTATCTTTACCACATAAGTGGAAGTCTAAAGCAAAATTTTTATTAAGGGTATATTTGACGTTACAGTTTAATAATACTGTGATTGTGTCATCTTCGATCTTGTCAGTTTGCAAATATGGGGTGGTGTTATTGCCACAGCTTCACAGGTTAACACCACAACTTTTTTAATTAATTAACCATTAACCCACGCGGAGAAGGTGGTGACTGCTGCAAGTTGGATTCAAATGAGGGGTATAATAGTCAAATAATTAAAAAAAGCTGTGGTATTAACAGTAGTGGCTGTGGCAATAACACCACCCCAAATATGTTAAAATGTTTTTCTAAAGCAATTTTAACCCTTTTACAATAAAATCAAAAGTTACAAGATATAACTAACTATTTAAATGATTTAATGGTTATTTTATTTTATTAAAAATAAAAAATTTTAAATTTGAATTGTATAATATGTATACGTGGAGTGAGATAAAAAATAAAAAATAATTGTCTCTCATTATATAACAAAAATAAAAACAATGATAAGATATAAATGATTTAATAGTAATTTTTTCTTTAAAAGCGTAAATATTTTATATTTGAGTTATAAATATATAGACAAAATAAATATACATACTTTATTTTTTTATAAATACATTTATTTTGAATAGTACAATATATTTTTGTATAACACTTTATAGGATAGGATACGATATTTAATGAAATGATGCATAGTAATATATGCATAATTTCAAAATAAAAATAATTAATTATAAAATATTACATTATATTGTACA